GCACCTCCTCCTGTTCTCTGCCCACGTGTGAGCATGGCCCCTGGGCACACGTGGTGCCCACCAGTGCTTTTCCCAAGCCAGGGGATAGAAGAGGGTGATTTTTCCACCAAACTCCATCGCAAGGCCAGGGCATGACTTGTTCTGCACCTCATCTTCTCCCCCCTGCTTGGCGACAGCTCTGAACTTGCTGGGGGATGTTGGTTAGGGCTGCTGATGGGGTACCAGCCCCCCTTTCCTCCTGGCAGCTGGGGAGATGCTGTGGATTAAGCTCTGTGGGACAGAGGGAGGTGTTGGAGGAGCCCAGCCCTGTGTCAGGCTCATCCCCTGCAGCAGCTGGTGGGCACCAAGCCGTGTCCAAGGCCACGTGCAGTACATCCCAGAACATGTGGACCATGGTGGCACCTCGGGGGCTTTGCTGCACTGGCTCTGGAGACACTGGGATGGTGACACCTTCGAGCCCAGAGACAAGAGCCTTGTGAGGAGTTGACTTGGACTGCAGTGGCAGAGTGTGTGCAGAGGAAGAAATGTGGCTGAGTTGCAGATGCTGCTCCATGAAGATGCCAGCTCCTGCCCAGCTTCTGTACACAACCCTGAAGTGGCATCCCAGAGGGTCATGGACTGTTATTCCTGTCTCCCTGCCCTTGGTGTGGACACAGCCTGCTCAGGAGAAGAGACCAGCCCCACAGCCAGCCTTGGCCTGAGCGGTGAGGGACATCCCAGGGCACCAGGGTGGTTTCCTGCAGATGAAGAGGAAGGCTCTCCCCACCTCTCTCTCCTCCATCTCTGCATCCCTGTCAGTGCCCCAGATCAGCCCCATCAGGACATCCTGAGAGCAGCAGGGTGAGGCCTCCAGGACCTGCTCCTGCTCATCCCCAGGGTTCAGTGCTAGAGATGCCTGCATCCACTTGGATTCCAATGGCTTCTCCTTACAGCCTTGGGAAAGAAGCCCTGGCTGATGGCATTACCTGTCTGCTCAGGGCCTCCTCACAGCTCCAAGCTCAGGGCACTGGCAGCATCGTGGGGACCTTGGCCAGCAGCAGGAGCCCCCTCATTTTGTGCTCTTACCTTGGTAGATGATGATTCTGTAGCACAACCCAGCATTGCTACACTCAGATGTGGAGGTAACACCATGATGGCAGGGCACTGCCAGGTTCCAGCTTGCTGCCTGTCCTGCATTTTCTAGGGCCTGAGCTACACCTCAGAGCATCTCACACTGAGCTCTTAGGATTTTGTAGCCTGCCAAGGCAGGGCTGTGGTGAGGGAGATGATGTTTTCAACACCCCCAGCCCTGAGCAGACACTGGGGCTGCAGCCAGGCAGGACATGGAGAGCCTCTCACCTGGAGACCAAACCCAGACCTTGCTCAGCTCAGCAGGGACTAAAGTTTACAATCTGTGCCACGGAGTGACAAGCCCCAGGTGAGAGGCAGCTCAGCCCTTTCCCAGAGCCCAGCACAAAATGCATGGCAGGAAAGGCAAAAACTCCCACAATCTTCTCTCCTGGTTGGGGTGGCCAGAGATGGAGACCCTTTGGAAAGGGATTCCAGGATTCCAGCCTGAGCTGCCCCTGGCCACCAGCTTGAGGAGAACCCTTGCTGCCTGCCCATGCTTTTGGGCTGCCCATCACCAGCACAGCACAGCCCTCTCAGGCTTCCAAAACTCCCAGCCTCCATCCCTGCCCTGCACACTGCAGGCTGTGAGACCCCTGCCCGTGCCCACCACCTGTGCCAGGGGGCAGAGCCATCTCTGCCTTGTGCTGCTCAGGAAAGGCTTCAAGCTCAGCCCTGCCTCTGCTTCATTTCTGCCCTCCTGCTGCTTATTTCACCCAGGCTGTGACCTTTAGGGTGGCTTGGAGGGGCTGGGAAAGGATGGCAGTTGACAAACTAAAGGAGCTCAAGAAGAAATGTGGGCTGCTAAATATTCCTTCTTTAACATGCAAAACACACTTCAACACATAGTTACAGGAGCAAGGCTGGCTCTGGTGCTGCTGTGATGGGTGAACCTTCCCTTCTCTTGCTTCCAAGGTGAAGCTGAGCTGTTTTGTCCCCTGGAAGCCAAGACAAGACACTCGTGTCTTTGCCACATCAGGGCTGGGTGCGATGCTTGAGCTCTGCCCTGGTTGAGTGTTCATTTCCACTGTGTGCACTCTCCAGCAGCTCCCTGTTGTGTCAGCTCTCTGGAGGGTGTGCTGTGCCCACTGTCTGGGCAGAGTCCCGTGTCCAGCCTGGCTCTGGAGCCCCCGTGCTGCTCTGGCAGGAACCTCGAGCTCCCCGGCGCTGGATCCCCGCGGCGATCGCTGCCTTCGATCCGCACAGCCCACGGTTCTGCTGCTGCTTCCCTTCGAGGTGCTACGACCCCCCGGCGTCTGACCTGACAGAGACGTGTGCCAGTGGCTGTGCCAACCATTTCTCTGCCGTGTCCATGCTCTGTGCCAGCCTTCCCTCCTCCTCCTCGGTGCCAGTGAATAGCAATACCCGCAGCCCACGGTGCTCCTGTCACCCTGCACAGCCGGGTGGGACCTGGCTCAGGGTCCCCCGGTGCTGGGTAGCCCTTCCCTAGCTCCCCACCAGCTGCTTTTTCCCAGCTGGTGTCTGCAGAAAGGAGTTTTGAGTCCTGTGCTGCCCCTTGGTGCTGATTAAGCCCGGAGGAGTTTGGGATCCTGGACTCTCCCCGGGCAACGGGAGTGTGGAAGTGGTTTGGTTGAATACTGAGCTCCCCAAACCCGTTTGAACTACAGACCTGTGGTGGGTGGGGTATGCAGGTGGCTGTCAAACCTGCTTCCACAGCCCCCAACTTGAAACACCCTGTCCCTCATCCGCTCTCCAGCGTTGTCTTCCTCTGTCCAAGGTTTCCGTTCTGTTGGATTCGGTGGTTACGATGTGCCTTTCCTTCTCAGGACCTGTTACAAACGACCTTTCTGCTCTTGTTTATGTTTAACATTTATCTTGATTCCTCCCTCTGTCGTACTATAAAACATGAACATAATGCATGGAATACAATACAATAAAAGTGTGGCTTAACTGAGCTGCAGTGACTGTGCTGTGCTGGGGGGACCACATGCTCCTGCTGCAAAGGATCAGTAGGTAAGGGGTGAAATTATTGTGTTTTGTTTGAGGTCACAGGGCTGGCTGACCTCCTGATGACTGTGCAGAGCTCAGGGTGAGCAGGATCACAACTCGTTCCTCTCCTTTGCCTCTCCTTCATCATTCCTCCTTGGGATTTCAGGCCAGTCTTTGGGAGTTGTCCTGCAAATGAGCAAACGCTCAGTGGTCGTGTCCACTGCTTTATGATGGGCACAAAAATACTTAAATATCCAGTTGCTGTGCTTGTCCAGAGCAAGGTGGGCAGGCAGGTGACTCAGAGGGACACAAGCCACTTCCCTCCTGGAGCCAGCACTCCCCAGGGCAGGGAGCACAGCCTGAGCACTCAGGATCCTTGCAGGTCATGTGTGTCACTTTCCCAGTGATGTGTGAAGGCTGCAGAGGCCAGCCTGAGCACTCAGGATCCTTGCAGGTCATGTGTGTCACTTCCCAGTGAAGGCTGCAGAGGCCGAGGCCGGAGTTTGGATAACTCAGATTGCCAGGAAGGTTGATGTGGAGAGCAGTTATGATTTGATCCAGCGTGACAAGCTGCCCCTGGGCTGCAGCAGGAGCGTGGGGTTTGCTGCTCCCGAGGGACAGTTGGGATCTGTGGCTGGGCTGTTGCTGGTAACACGCTCTGCTTACATTCCACATTCCACACGGTCCATGCTCCGGCCTGTCCCAGCGCTGCTGCACGTTCTGCTGCTGGGCACGCTTCCCAAACACCTCCTTGTTCCTCCCCCGAAACAGCTGTCCCCCAAAATACAGCTGAGAGAGCAGCGCTGGGGGAGGGCCCTGCCGGCTGCAAGATGCCCGGGGAGGTGGAGGCAGCCAGGGGTTTGTTCTCTTCAGTCACATTACATCACTTGGGAATAATGTTGTCAAAAAGAGGGTTTTTCTAGGGATGGGAGGTGCAGAGGCAGCGCTGGCAGGATGGAGGAGGGCTCCCAGAAAGGAGGGGGTGAAGAGCAAGGAGCTGCTGTTGGATGAGGGAAAACTTAAAATTCCTGATGAAGAGGCTCCTCTTCTGGGAGAAATCCAGCCAGGAGCAAGAGGGAGCCCTGCAGAGGCTCAAGCACCCTGGAGTAACCATCCAAGCTCCCCAAACAAAACCGGATGGATCCACAGGAGCTGGGAAACCCCTGGCAGCACCAAACCTACACTGCAATTCTAGACAAGCGTTTGGTATTGAAATTTATATTGAATTGATGATCTTGAGGTCTTTTCCTAAGTGATTCTGTGATTGATTCCTCCTCAGAGATGCAGCAGGGGAACCTCCCCATTCACTGCCCCTCTTTCGAGATTGATTAAAGGGGCGAAATTCACCCCAAAACCGCACCGCCTCTCCTTGCAGGGAAGTGCTGCGCAGGGGATGCTCCAGGGACGGAACCCTCTGGGTTTTTTGGATCAGGAGGCGATGCTGAGGCTGCCTAGCGCTGCCCACCCTGGCCAGCCGCATCTCCTTACGGCGGGGCCGCGGGGCAGGCCGGGACTCGCCGCCGCGCTCCTCCCACCGGTTGGAGGCTCCCGGGCGGCGGGGCCGAGCCGATCCGAGCCCCTCGGAGCCGCTCCGCCACCGGTGACGGGGCTGAGGCCGGGGGTCTCACCGGGGTCTCACCGCGCTGCCCACCTAGCCCCACCGCCCCCGTCCAGGGGACTACACGCCCCAGAGCCCCCCGCGGCCGTGCGGCGGCGCGAGGTACTGTGGGACGTGTAGTCCTTTGGCGGGCTCAGCCCCACCCCGAGCAGCGGCCGCCGCCTCCCCTACGCACTACATCTTCCGTCGGGCGTCGCGGCGCGCCCGCGGGCCGCCGGCGGAGACATTTGCGAGGCGAGTGTCTCCAAGATGGCGGCGTGGGGAAGGAGGCGCGCGGGCCCCGGCAGCACCAACAGCGGCGGCGGCCGGGACAGGTGAGGGAGGGGCCGGGGGCGCTCGGCGGGGCCGGGCCCGGGGAAGGTCAGCGCGGCCCGCGGCGTGTCTGGGGCAGCGCTGCCCGCGGCGGGATGCGGCGCTGGGGGCCGGGTAGAGGAGGGCCGGCCCCGGGTGGCTCCTTCCGTCCACGGCTATTTTTAAAGGCGGGGAGGGAGCGGCGAGTCCTCCAGGGTGACCTCCTTCTGCCGGGGCCGCGGCGGGCAGGGAGCTCGGGACCGCGCTCCGGCCTCTGCCGGGGCGGAGGAGCGGCCAGCGCAGGCTGGAAATAACCCACGGAGCAGCGGTGGAAGTTTGGGAATCGCAACTTTAAGATGGGGAAAAGAGACAGAGGGATATGTCACGGAGTCAGTTAGGTTCGGGAGATCTCTGAGGTCATCGAGTCCAGCCTGAGCCCGATGCCCACCCCGTCACCCAGAGCAGAGCCCTCAGTGCCACCCAGTCTTTCCTTAAACACCTCCAGGGACGGTGACTCCACCACCTCCCAGGGCTGCCCATTCCGGTATTTAATCATCCTTTCTGTGAAGAAATCTTTCCAAATGTCAGACCTGAATCTCCCCTGGCACAGCTTAAGACAGTGTCTGGTCGAACTACTTTAAAACCTGTGTGCACAGCCCTCCACCTGCTGAAAATGTCTGGCTTTATCCCGCGTTTCCTGACGTTGGCATTTTTCTGTTCTGCCCCAGGGCTGACTGATGTAACCGGCAGCTGCTGAAAGCTGCTGCAGTGTTCTCTGAGTTTTCCTTTGTCCTGCTGCCTCGCCTCGAAACTCTGATATCCCTCTTAATTAGAAACTCTGATATCCCCCTTCATTTGTCTTGTGGCTTTTGCTTCACTTTGTTCCCCTGCTGTGATCCAACAGCTTTGATGCTGTTGAATCTACCCGGCCAAGGAGAGCCACAAGTAGCCCTGAAAATTCTGGCACTAATGTGAACTGCAGGAATGCTGCCTGTGTTCAGGGAATTCAAAAGTAATTGAACTGGAAGGGCCAATGGAATTCCTGCATCAGCGTGGTTTAAATAAACAGCTAAGAATACCACAGTGGTAAAACTGTCTGCACCCAGGGCTGGCACTGCCCCAGCACGGGAGGTGTGGAGTTTTCGTGTGGCAGACGTGTCCTCCCAGCAGAAGGGAAGAAACAGAATATGGAAAAGAACACTTAATAACTTCAATTATTCTTCCAGGGTGAAAATTGGCGCAGACTTAAAAGTGAGTTGTTACTGTGTAACTTCATCCATGACCTGTACAATTGTTGTTTGAGGTGATCTTTTTTCAAAGCTGTGATTGCTCTTGATCTTATGATCAAAACTATTCCTAAACACGAGTCACTCCCTGAACCTGCTGCATGTGTTATTTTTCCTTTGCCAGTGAGAAGGGTACGGAAGAGAACACAACAGCACATCCTCCCCTGAGCAGCGTTTCACAATCTCCACCAAAACCTGGTGCTTCTTTAGGTGTCACCCTGTACAAACGTGACAGGAGCACAATTCCAGAAGGTGTTGGGTGATGTCAGCGAGGTGCTGCTTCTCCCTGGCAGCCGCAGAGCAGGAGATGTGGATGGCTGGGCCTCTGCCTGTCCCCGTGGCTGCTCCCAAACCACTCCTGCCCGTCCTGCCGCAGCACCGGTTGTGCAAAGGCAGCGCTGGCAGACCTGATGTCATCACACGATGACATGTGCTTTTTATAGGGTGAAAACAGTTTTCTTACTCTGGGCAGGATTCTTGTCCAAAGACACGTTCCTTTGAACTGAATGTGCTGATCCAGTTTTCCTGGTGACTGAGCTGTTTCAAGGAGTGTTTGTAGTTGTCAGCCAGCAGCTCCAAAAGGCATCTGTGTGTCGGAGGTGGTGTGAGGAGACTCAGTGCTGAATAAAATCCTGTCTGCTGCAAGACTAGAGCAGCTTTCATTTAAAATTATTTAAAAAAAAATAGACCAGCGTATCTGTGGAGACTGAGTCCCTTCATAAGTGACTTTATTGATGCAGAGAAAGCTATAATTGGTTTAAAAGTGCTTTCCTTGCTAGGGGTGAATGTAAGGACATTAATTTCAAAGGATGTTGACTGTGAACTCCAGCTGGCTCTGGTGAAATAATAATGTTAAACAAAATAACTAAAAACACTGAAGGGAACCAACTAAATATTTGTTTTTCTTCATTTTGGATAGACTCTTTAATGGAGCCTGTCTAAAGGGAATTGTTAATCTGTAGACCAAAACAACTTTTTCATACAGAACAGACACAGGATTGTACTGGGTGTTTTTGTATAAAAGGCAGCCCGGTGCCCGCCAGAGCAGTGGACAGCATGTTGTTTGTTCCCCTGGGAGATGTTCTGACAAACTCTGGAAAGAACAGCTTCCATGCCATCACCACTGCCTGCTCTGTGCCCTCACAGAGCTCCCCTTTTGCTACCTGCACTGCTCAGATTTCTGGTGCTCTGCTTGCAGCAATGATTGACCTATTTCCATCAGCCTGGCTAATCATTAGTTGACTTAAAATTGACACCTCCTTGTTGTCTGGGGCTGGATTTGTTGTAATGGTCTGGTGATGTTTTCCTTAGAGTTCAGGTAATGTTGTCCCTCCCTAAGGCTGCTTGAAGAGTTTCCCAGTGTTCTCCTGTCCTTTTTCCTATTTGAATTAAAGGTGCATCTTTTGAATTCAAGTCTTGCTTTACTGCCCTGCATTTCCTGTTCTTCCTCTGCTTGAGTGCCCTTCTTAAAGCCCCAGGCCTGACAGCCCTGGCTGAGGGCTTGAGCCTGTGGGGACCTTCAGCAGAGAAACAATTCTCCAGGTGTTCAGGGTGGGATGTGTTTGTGCTTTCTGTGCACCATAGCCTGAGTAGAAACATACACGGGGGAATGTGACTGGGAGGTGGAATATTTCCACTGAGAATTAAAGCCAGGCCACAGCTCATTCCTTAATCTTGAAATAAAATTCAATTTCAGGAAGGATTTGTGTTGGAGGGAGGGAAGTTTAGTGTTTGGATTTGTCATGCCTTGACTCTGTTGACTTCCTCCAGCTTGGCTGAGGTGCCAGCAATGCTCCCAGACATGCTCTGGCCATCTGTAAAGTCCTTTTTCTGAGATCTTGCACAGCCAGCACGAAACCCCTCTTTCACTTCTGAGCTGGGATGTGTGTGCTGCTTGTGACCAGGTGTTATCACACTGCTGCAAGCTTCTCCCTTCTAATTTTTTTAACTACTTATCAAACTGATCTCCATTTTCAGTTAATCTGATTGTTTGGTGCTCTGAGCAAAATTCTTGCTCAGGAAAGAAAACTTTACCAAACTTGACCTACATGTTATGGGAGGGGCTCAAAAGAACTTCTTTTTGTCCAGAACTGAGATAGCTGGATTACTTGAAACCCTCACCAAAAAAGTCTGGCAGGTGCCATTAGGTTGAAGGCAGCAAACTCAGGAGGCTCAGCCCTTCTCCCTGCAGGTGGGCAGGGGTAGGAGGATGCTGAGGGTTCTCCCAGGATGTTTTCCCCTGCCTTGTTCTCAGTGCTCTGTTCCTTTGTTTCTGCTTTTGCCACTTGGCACCTGGCAAAACATGGAGTGACATTGTGCCTCCTCTTTGGAATGTTACTTATTTCTTCATCCATAAAGACTGTCCAACTGAAATTTCCATTTACCAGGCAGGCTGCTGTTTCCAGGAGCCTGCTTCCAAGGTGGAGGCAGAGAAATGGAGCTGCTCTGAGGACTGGAACCTCAGAAGAAATTCTTCCCTGAGAGCGTGGTGAGGCCCTGGCACAGGGTGCCCAGAGAAGCTGTGGCTGCCCCTGGATCCCTGGAGGTGTCCAAGGCAGGGTTGGAAGGGAATTGAAACAACCTGAGACAGTGGAAGGTGTCCCTGCCCATGGCAGGGGGTGGAACAGGATGGACTTTGAGGTCCCTTGCAACCCAAACCATTTCAGGATTTCATGAACTGCTGGAGCTGCTATTGTTCACCCTCTCCTGGTGCTCTCCCATATTCCCATGTTAGGAAGACAATCCAAATGTAATTTGAAGCTTGCTCTATAGCTAACAGACACTTCTGCCCCTCCTGCTGCTGTAGCTCTGTTAACAATGGATTCCTTATTTTTAACTTTGGCAACACCAAAATTTGACATTGTTGAGTTTTAAGTGATTTACATCTTGGTGTGCTGAATAGCTGAGAGCTCTGTCACATTCTCCCATCCAGGCATTCATTCAGCACCAGGAATGAGACACTGAAAGTTCTCAAATACAGAATGCCTGAAGCTGCAGTAGAACAAATATTTGGATGTAAGACCTTGAACTATTCCTAGAGAACAGCTCTACAACTTTTTAACTGTGCCCTCTTACTTGGAGTGGGGAGACAGGTCCTGGAAAATCATTTGATTGAATAATACTAACAACTGCTTTTAGGCTCTGGTCTGCCAAGTGAACAGGCTTCTGAACACCTGGCAGCATTTTGTTTTCTGGCATTAGGTGCTCTCTGGTTATTTACTATTCTTTTAAGTAAAATGGAGTTTATATCAAATCCCCACACTGGATTAGTGGTGGATGCCAGCCCAGAGTTGCTTGCACAGCTCTGCAGTTGTGTTTGTCATGGCCAGGGTGGGTGACAAGCTCCAAAAGGCAAACTCCACAGCCTCCAGTGTTTGAGCAAATCCAGTTGCTCTGACTGGATTTGTTGGTGTGCAGCTGCTGTGTCAGGAGAGTTGTCTCTGTGAAGTCCTCAGCTGAAACCTCCTCAAGCTCACATATCTGTGTCCCTTTCTGTATTGTCTGAAATCCAAACAGTTTTCAGCTTTCCATGCTCCAGGGACAGCCAGTTCTTGTTTGGAAATAATACATGATAACCCCTCATCCCTGTGCAGAAATTGAGACTTGCTGCCTGCTTTGCTGACTTTTCACATGTCCTATTTAAGCAGATATCTTTTTTGGATTGGCTGGTTTGCCATTTGCAGCTTCAGCACTATGATAGAGATTTATTCTGATTTTAGAGGACTCATCTGGAGAAACAGCACAGTTGGGGGGCAGACTCTTTCAGGGACGGAGCCTTTGTGCTGTTCAGTTCCCAGTGATTTTTTATTTTTCCCAGCAGAACATACTTTAAATTCTGCTTGTCTTGGCACTGAAGGCCAAAAAAAAAAACCAAAACAAAACAAAACAAAAAAAAAAAACAACATGTGCTTTTCTCACTTTATTGTTATAAAGCTCCAGAGTCTGGCAAGCCAGAAAATTCCAGAGGAGATGGACAGTGCTGCCTCTGGCCAGTGTTGGATTCCTGCTGACAGGTGGCTGTTTGTGGCGTGGCTCTGCTTGTGCAATGATGATGAAAGGAAAAAAGGGGTGTTCAGAGGGAAGAGCAAGCAAGAGCTGAGCAAGGAGAAATGAGGCTGGTGGGTTGGTGCCACCTGTCCTGCTGCTGAGCCTGGAGAAATCCCATGGAATGCAGATACTGAGCTCCTGGAGTTAGAAGCTCAGTTCCCATGGCTCTTGCACAGGCAGAGAAGGAATGGGCTCGCTTCATCCCTGTTTTCCCAGTGATGACAGGGAGATGTGGAATGACAACTGTGCTGTGCCTAAGCCTCTGGGAAGTTCTCTGTTGAATTTGGATTCTGCTTGTCTGTTTTGCCCACCCATCTGCATGTTCCTAGGTATTACAAAACACTGAAAGTGCTCCTTGTTGGAAATACTAATTTTGTCTGGAGAGTCGAGTTAGCACTGGGTTGGCTTCCAGCTTGAAAATGCCTTTCAGCAATAGCTTTTCCCTGAAGTCATTATACCCTAGCAAGTGGCTTCACAAAGTCATGGGTGGTGGTGTGCAGTTAGGCCTCTATATGTCTTTTGCAATGAAACTGGAATTTTTGATTTGGAAGAAGCTGCACTTGGAGCAGCTGTTATCAGGGAAAAGAATCCTTGGCAGAAACCATGACCAGCTGTGTCCTTGGTGTCACTGTAACACCTGCTTAACTGTTTTCTTGTTAGAAACTTCTTATATAGATCCTGTTCTTAATTTTTTTCTCTAAATACCTCTCAATTCACTGCAGAACATCAGAGCCCACCACATCATGTGCTGAAAGGGTTAATGGTAATTTTCCCACCAATGTCTGACAACTCATTGCCCTAAAGAAGCCCCTGGCATGCACTGAATTAAGGTGGATTTTTATTTTTCTTTCTACCCATGAACAGGCCAAGGGGGAAATGCACTGCAAGAACTCAATAACTACATTGTAAGTTGAGTTTTCCTTGTAGGTTATATAAATTCCAGCTGGACTTTTAATGAAACTGCTTATGACTCTGCTTTGGGAGAGGGTGGTGCCTCTCAGGTCCTGCTGGTTGATGTCTGCTGCTGTTACAAACCCAGCCATGTCTGCAGCAGCTTGTAATTTAACAATATTCTTGATTACAGCTGGCCACTGCTCAATCCCCTTTGCAGCCTGAGTGGAGCTGCACATTAAGGATAATGTTTGGCAACAGCAGCTTGTGAATGTGTATTTTTCTCCCTTATTTTCCAGTGCATGCACATAAGTACCACTGTACTAATGGAGCAAAAAGTGCTCGTTCTGTTCTCCACATCAGCAGTGTGTTCCTCCCGGTATCACGGGGGTCTAATGCTGTTGGGATGAGGCTGATTTGTCTGCTGTGATTAGGTCAGATGTGTGATTTGTTCTCCTTCTGCTAAAGGAATCTGCTAGATATTTTTATCTTTGCTAGGCCACGTGCTCAGTTTTGCTCTGGTTAAGCACAAGTATGCCAGAAATATTCATTTTTGCATAGAAGGGAGGATTTTGCCTGGTTCTGATGGACAGGTTTTTACCCTTTCTCAGAGCAGGAGAACAGTCACAATCCTATTTCTTAGCAGTCTGTACATGAAGGTAGCTGCAGATATAAGGTGATGTGGTGAAGGGGGTGGAGGGAAGGTGGAAATTGATGTGACATCAAACAGCTGAAAGCTGCTGCTCCAATACAAGTTCCCTGAATCCCCTGAGCAGGCAATCTGCTCCCAGGTGAAGTGAGCAGCTCTTTCTTCGCTGTTTAAGCAGTACAAAAACTTGTTCATGTCTTGCTTTGCTGCATCCCACTTCAGGAGAGGGAGGGAAGCATTCTGCCCCAAACTGAATGCTCTGCTGCCTTCTTCACCTTCCCTTTGAGCAGTGTTCCTTGGCCATCCTTGTTGGATTTACCATGGATTTACTAGGCTGTGTTAATACGGAGGACTGAATAGCAAGCTGCATCAGAAAGCAAATGTGTTCATCTGGAGATGCTTCCTCTCTCCAGACCTCCCAGAGCAGCTTGTCCTGATCAGTGAGCTGCTTGTCTTGGTTTCTCTGAAAGCTCCTGAAGTCTGTGGGGTTTGTTCAGTGATGTGTTGTGGTCACTCAGGTGTGAGTGACACTTCTGCTTGGGTATCAGTGTGAGAAACTATTTCAGGACTGTTACAAGACCCTATTTCTCAAATTGTTCTAGATCCTCCAGATTAGGAAAAGGTAAGAAAAATCTGTTGCCTTCTTTTGGGATGAATTACTGTACAGCAGGAATAATCAGCTGATGTGAAATGAAGCTTGAGTTGAGAAGCCGCTGGTTGTGAAACCGAGGCAGTGACCTTGAGAGGCTGCCCTCACTTGGGGCACTGCTGTCCTGCTCTCCCATCCGGGTGGGTGAACAGCCTGTCCTTCAGCCCCGTACTTTTAATTCTCCATTTCCCCTCACCAGGGTGACCTTGTCCTCCACGGACTGTTACATTGTGCACGAGATCTACAACGGGGAGAACGCTCAGGACCAGTTTGAGTACGAGCTGGAGCAGGCGCTGGAGGCGCAGTACAAGTACATCGTGATCGAGCCCACGCGCATCGGGGACGAGACGGCGCGCTGGATCACCGTGGGGAACTGCCTGCACAAGACGGCCGTGCTGGCGGGCACCACCTGCCTCTTCACCCCCCTGGCACTGCCAGTAGATTACTCTCACTACATCTCCCTGCCCGCCGGAGTGCTGAGCGTGGCTTGCTGCACCCTCTACGGGATCTCCTGGCAGTTTGATCCCTGCTGCAAGTACCAGGTCGAGTACGATGCCTATAAACTTTCGCGCCTGCCCCTGCATACGCTCACCTCGTCCACTCCCGTGGTGCTGGTGAGGAAGGACGACCTGCACAGAAAGAGACTGCACAACACGATAGCACTCGCTGCCCTGGTGTACTGTGTAAAGAAGATCTATGAACTCTATGCTGTATGACTTCAGCGGGGAAGAGAGAAACCCACAAAGACAAGTGTATTAAGACTCCCACAGTAACATTTTGTTTTTCCTCTTTGAGAAGCGGTGGAGACTGGGAAGGATTTGGTTTGGTAGAGCTGTTGTTTTTCAAATAACACATCACTGGTGCACCAAGGTTTTTCAGCTCTTCGTTACACTTGAGATGTGGATGTGTGGTGACTTGAGATCCGTATGTTAGGCCAGGGGAGTCCAATCCAGCAGCAGAATGTCAGTGAAAGAAAGCAACAGAAAGAAGGGGTGTGAGAGCTGCTTTATTTTTTTTTTTCTTTTTTTTCTCTTTTTTTTTTTTTTTTTGGGAAACATTTAAGTATATTGTTTAATTGTATTACACAGAACCAGCCAGAAGTTATCATTGACCATTAAAGGATGAGAATTTCAAATGCCCTCGCTCTCTTGTCACTGTTATCAAAGTGGTATCACTTTAAGTGTCCAGGTACAAACACATTCTGCTCAGTTCTTGTAGAGTTCTTCCTATGGTGGATACATCTCTGAAGTGCCTTGAGCCACATGCAGGGCTGGGGGCTGCCAAGGTGGGAGTCTACCTGTCCTGCCTTTGTGCTGTGCCCTGACCACACAATTCCACTGCTTTTGCCTGGAACACAGGAGCTGCTTCTTCCTGCTGCAAGGCATCCACGTGAGTGCACCGTGTAACTGTGTTACCTGAAATTTTAGAATTCAGTCCTGTGCATTAATCCATTTTTTAGCTCTAAACTCAAAATCTTGTTCTTAGAGTGGGAAGCATTTACTCTCCTGTGACATCTGCCAGTTATTTTTAAAAGATAGGGGCTTGCTGTCTGTAATCTCCTCCCACCACATGGGGAATAGGTGTGGCTGGCGTTGGCAGGGCCAGCCTGGCACAGCTCCAGGTGTTACATTTGGAATAGGAGAGCAAAGGCCTGCAGTGAGAGCTGCCCGTGCACTGTGTGCTCCCTGCTCCAGTGGGAGCTGCAGCCTGACCTTCACAGCTGAAACACTGACCTTGACAGGGGTCAGGCCCCAAATTCTGCCTTTATCTCTCCAAATTGCCACAGCAGGCACCAAGGACTCCCTGTCCTCACCTCCGTGGGCTGTTCTGACCACGGTTCTGACTTGTGCTTCTCTGCTGGGGCAGTTTTTCTGTGAGCAGGACATGCAGCCCATTCTGTCTGTGCTGGGCACACTGGGTTTGCTGGGTGTCCCAGCCCTGAGCACCAGCACAGGCTGGACCTGAGTGGGCTGGAGGAGCTCCAGTGGCACTGAGACATTTCTGGGTGGCAGCAGCCCCTTGTACAGTGGCTGAGCTCTCTCCCTCCAAGGTTAAAAGAAGCTGCGATCCAGAACTCTATTTATAGCAACAATGTACAGTTGCCTTGGCAGAGAGGAGGCAAAGAAATGCAACTACTTCATCTCTCAGTGGTTAGGCCAGGCTGGGCAGGCTGCCCTTCCACCCTGACGTGTTTCCAGAGTCTCTCCTGGATGGATTTGAAGCCAGTGGCACATCTGCCACAGCTACTACTGCTTGTTGCTGCAGAGGGCCCTGAAATACCTTTGTCCTGGCCACACCAAAGCTGTTCCTGGTCTTTTTTTACTCAGTGCAGGATAGTTCTCAGAGCTGTTAGTTCCTTTCCTGCACCAAACCTCTGGGGTCCTGGTACCTTTTTGTGTTAAGCTTCCCCTGGACTGGAATGACCACTATGGCAGGTTCCCTAAATGCATGGCTGGCATCAGAGGCTTGAGTTAAAAATTAGCAAGTTTTCTGGGGTCTCTTATTGCAGGAGGAAAGGTGAAAAGTCAGCTTAGCTGTCACAATGGGTAGGTCTGAGTGGAAAACAGCTGTTACTCCGTTCTGAGGTGGAGGGGCAGAGGGGCTCGTTTCCAAGGAATCTCAGTGATAACACAGCTAAAATGCTTTTTAACATTCTGGTTGTTAGTCAGGGCTGTAAATGTGCAAGGGGACCTGGGAGAATGAGAGGGGCCTTGAGAGGTATTTTAGTCACAGTGAAATGGTAAAACAACTTCCAAAAGTTCCCATCCGTGTGGAGTGGTGCTGTATCTGCTGTCCCCAGTGCCAGCAGCTCAGTGGGATCAACAGTGGCTGGGGACAAACCTCCCTTCAGAATTCCCCACACTTTGCTGCCCCCCTGCCTGTTGTGGATGTGCTTGGGAGTGTGCAGCATTCCCCTCATCAGAGAGGGGGAATTTGCCTCCAAAGGGAATGGGTGCACTCTCAGCAACCTCTGCCTTGGAGCTGTAGCTCCCACAGGAACTACAGGAACTCCCCACACATCACTTTTCCCTCAGGCCTGATGTGTTTCACCCTCAGTGCTCTGGATGGGAACACAGAAATGCAAAGCAGCCCCTTGGTCCTTCCTGGGTAGCCACGACCTGAAACACCAGAACATGGAGCAGCTGAACAAGCCTGGCAGGAGCACTGCATTTCACCAAGAAACTGAGGAGCTGAGCATGGGAAACACAAAAGGAAAAGCACAACTAACACCAACACTCCCCTTGTGGAGAGCCAGAGAAGGTAGTGCCTTGCTTTCCTATCTTAACAGGAAAAAAAAGGTGTCTACACACCTGAGAGCTTCACCTTGTCAATCCAACCCCAGGCCTTCCTGTGACACAGCTGCAGCCTCAGCCACAGGGAAGGGTGGATGTCCTGACAGAGCAGCAGCATTGCCATCATTAAACACATCCTGGGTCTCAGAGATCATTTATAAATCTGTAATGGTTAAGAAGAGGCTTTTGGAAGCAGAAGGTCCTGCTGAGCCTGCACACCCATAGCAGAGTTTGTGTGACTAATTCTCTGTGTGGATTCACACTGTGTAAGCTAACAGGTCCCATAAAGAGGGCTGGGATAAAGCATGTTCTGCAGCTACTACTGGTACAATAGCACCTTGCAGGGATGTAAGGAAAACCAAAATCCTCCTGTTTTCCCTTCCTCTTATGTTACATGCTGTGAGGAGCTAGAGTAGACCAAGGGATTAATTTCATAGCAATGTAATTTATTTGTCATCAGATGTGCACTCCCAGGCAGGACATGTGAGGCAGGACACATGGAAAATGCTGGCAAATGTATGGAGGTGGCAGGAGAGGTCTGAACCTTGGTTCCTATTAGTAGAGTTTATTTCAATTTTAAGATTATTTCTGTCCTATCTCTGTGCAGCAATTCCTTTTTCCTAGTGGTGCTGGTATCCCTCACGTGAGAAGGGGGTGAGGAATGGAACACAGCACCCCTTCAGGCTGTCAGGCTCCCTGAAGTGATACCTGAACAGGCAGGTATCATTCCCCACTGGATGTGATCCTAATTAGCATCTGTGATTGCATTAAAGCAGATGAGAACAAAGGGTCTGTCTGCTACACTCTGCACTTCACACACATGGATTCTTCTCTAGTGCCACAGAGTGCCTGGCAGCCACAGGATCACACCTGCTCTGAGCTGCAGGTGGCCCAGGTGTGCTGCTGTCACCTGTGCAGTGTGTCCTGGCTGCAGCTGCCTTTTCTGCCTGTTCAGTGCTTCCCTGCATTCCTTGGGCTGGGATTCACAGAGCGCTGTCACTGCAGAATTAACTGTCCCAGTACATCAGCAGGGCATGATTCAGACAGGTAAAAAGATGCCAAATACACCCAAATTGTACATCAGTTACTTCTTTAAAAGTGGCACTGGATTGAGCTTAATTTATCAGATGACTTGGCACGTTAACAGGAAGAGGCTGTGAAGTTTCCCACTGCAAGCAGCATGTCCTGGATCAGATTGGAAGGAGTGGGAATGAGACACTGATCACGAGAGCTCCCAGCTGAGGACTGTATTTCACAGGGGTGGGGACAGCCAAGCTCTGCTGGTGTGAAGGCAGAACAGGTGGGTTTTATTTGTAGCAGGCAGTAAAGCTGAGTGTGCCTGCAGTGAGGTGAGGAGTCTGCCAGCCAGGGAGTGTTCCCCTGACCCCTCCCCTGCACCTCAGCTCTCCCCCACTGTCCAAGCACCCTTCCTTCTCCAGCTGAGGTTTAGGTGCTGTCTTCCAGCAGTGTGGGGGAAACCACTTCCCAGTCTCCACGCAATGGTAAACAGCATTTTGAGAAAGGATTTTCCTGCAGGAGTACCTCCAGTGATGTCCCAGCCGACTGCAGGGGCTCAGCCTCTCCCTGCTCAGGGCAGCTGAGCTCTAAGAGCCCTTTACTTTTCTCTCCTTTTTTGCTCTAGATGCCATTAAGGTGAAGAAAAGCCTGGGGCAGAGGTTCCTCAGGTAGACAGCCAGGCAGGGGGTCAGGCCAGCCACAAGCACTTCCTTCTTCTTCTGTCCCACTGCATTGAGAACCACCTGAGCCACCTCGGCCGCCGTCTGTCCCTCGGCCGTGGTCTTGTCCATAACTGCCAAGGGAAAGCTGAGTGAGCAGGTGAGCCCCACTGAGTACCTTTCCTAGGAATGCTCTAACTGCACATGGCTGCTTGCTCTGGTTTTCACTCCACTGTGTATGGGAGCACAGGCAGGTGTTCCTCATGGCCGGCCCTGAAGGCAATAGCTGCTGTCTGGACAGGCTAAATTTTGGGGTTTGCTGTTCCTACCCTGCATCCAAAGTTGGTTTTTGATCCTTCAGGGCTAACCTCCCCACCAGAGGCCATGTGTTGCAAACACCCCATAATAACATGGAGATGCTTTAGAAAGGGCAGTGAGTGGTATCTCACCTCCATAGCGAGATCCATCCGCTGTGACAGCGTTGAGGGACAGGTTTGTCTGGATGTACCCCGGGCTCACAACTGTCACTTCAATGTCATACTGCTCCACCTCTGCTCGCAGACAGTCAAAGAAGGCCTGGGTAGCATGCTTAGAGGCAGCATCTGGAAAACAGGAAAAGGACTGTGCACCAGGGAGAGGAGCAGGGCTGAAAGGATTTTCACTTTCTGAATGGATTTTTCACTGCAATGCAGCCACTTCTCAGCAAGAGCTGTTCTGCAGCCTCTACGTTTGTTTTTGTTTAGTGAATGGCAGCAGCAGGTAGTGGGAGTCAGAGGCAATTTAGGAAGACAAAATGTAAACTCAAGTTCAAAACTGGCTGGGATCCTGAGCTTAGCATCACAGCACTGCAGAGTGAACCCAAGCTGCCTCCCACTCCTGATAAAGGAGACCCAAAGCCTTGGGAAGGCAGAGCTGGCTGCCCTGCACGTGCTGAGCACTAGGGACTTGCAGAGCAGGTTCAGGGCTTGGCTGCACAAAGGGAACACCAGATCACACAGGCAGGCACAGCAGGGAAGCGTGGCCTAGGGCAGGATTTTCCCCCATGAAATGGCTGAGTGACTCTGTTTTTTTGGTCACTGCCTGTGGCTGCCACCACCACACCAGCAGCACCAGAGGCAGCTCAGCACAGGCTGCACACCTTGCACGGACCCAGGCAAGGGCTGGGCTCCTGCTGCCACTTCCACGTGGCTCTGGTCCCTGTGCAAGCACCCTGGGAGCTCCTCAGAACACTTTCTGCAGCAATTGGACCCACATCACCTGCAAAACCCCATGGCTCAGACATTCCAGGCTCTCCCCCACTCAGCATCACTCCTGACCCACCATATGCCATCACCACTCTACTTCTGGTGTTCACTTTCAGTGATTTACAGTTGCTTGTGTATCAAATGCTCTCATCTTAGTTCATCCATCTTTTAAAGGGCTTTTTTTTTCCCCAGTAATCCCACCAATATTTCTTGTCATAACTGATTTAGCATGAAGAGTTTGCTGGATCAAGATTGTTTAGCTTTTGTTCTGGCATTGTTTGTATTATAGCACTTCATAATTTATTAAAACCAAAATTTCCTGCTTTCTTAGAGGAGATAATGCAGACAAATGACAAGGATAAAATACCATAAAATTATGGAATTACAGTGACTCTCAAGATAGGACTATCAAGCTGTTTTCAAAGCATATTCTCCATCCCTTAAAAACTTTAGGACAGGGCTAAGATTTTGTATTTAATAGTGGCTGTCAGTGGTTTGTGACCCCATTGAGGGTGATGCACAGCTCTGCCTTCCCTGCCCACAGCCAATTCCACGGAGAGCTAAATGTGGAAGCAGGAGCCAAGTATTTATTCATCCTGGTGCCCCAAATATGTCTTTCCCATCTTCTGTGGAGGTACTTACATGCAGATCTGAAAGGAATGCTTATTTTGCCTTGCACGCTGCTGATGGCCACAATGTGGCCTTGTCTCCTCTTGATCATGGAGGGGAGAAGTGCTAGCAAAGGACAGAAAAGACCCATTCAGACAACAGTCCTGCCATTGCTGCTGTCAAGAATCAAAGCTTTCAGAGCACTCAGAGATGCTGAAGGGAATTACAAGATCCCTCTTCAGTGCAGGGGTTGGGACAGTGCTTGGGATGCCTCTGACTGAAGCTGTGTCTGCCTGGGAGGGTCACCTGTGAGGAGATTCCTTGTGCCAGAGGCTGCACAAGGGCTGCTGTGGTGGCTCTGATCTCCCACACAGTGGGCAGCAGGAGTTGCTTTTCCTGCCACCAGAACATCTTCCCATTTCCTGCAGCTGACACGCTCTGGGCTGAGCTTTCTGTGTGACCAAAGCTTCCCAGGAAAGCTGCAGCTCCACTGGAACCCCCACCACGTTCTCCAGTGTTCTGTCAGTGCAGACAGGATAACTGGACTTCTTCCCAAGTCCCTGCCAGGCTGGAGTCAGGAGATGGAACCAGGGATCATCTCCACTGGGGTATTCCCCACAGAGTCATGCCCTCAGGCCTGCCCAGAAGCCCAAACCTCCCTTCAGCCTGTGCAGTACCAGGTACAATGACAAACACAAGTGAGGCTGTGCTGATCTGCAGAGGCAGCAGCCAAATCCTGTGGACCACAGGTACCTTTGGTGAGGGCTATAGGTCCAAAGTAATTTGTTTCCATCACTTTCTTATCCACATGCAGTCCTGTGTCCACGATTGTGCCTCGGAAGCTGATGCCAGCGTTGTTGATCAGGATGTCCACGTGACCCAGGGCCTTCAGGATCTCCTCAGCAGCATTCACCACAGCTTTGGTGTCTGAGAGGTCAAACACCACGGTGTGAGGCTCGTGTGTCTGTGAACAAACTCAAGTTAGCAAAATACAGTTCAGTGCTGGGTGTGCCAGCTCATGGTGGGATCCCCCAGCTCTGGAAGCACAGGAGCAGGGCCATGCAGACCCTGTTCCATGTGGCAGGAATTCATGGCAGAAACAGGTTGTGCTCATCTTTCTCTGCTCCTGTAGCCTGTTCCTTATCCCTGAGCCTGGGAAAGGGACAAGGGAGATCTTCCTCAACTACTAAAGTTTCCTATCTTAAAGGAAATGCATCTGAAAAAGGCAAAACATAAGCCATGTGTTTTCTGCAGAAGCCAGCAGTATCTTTCTTAGCCACAGTCAGCTGGCATAGACATAAAAAATAAAAGCAGAAATAAAGTCACTTTTCCAGATTCAGTGTATGAGGTGCAGGTGTAAGGGGTCTGGACACTCTGCCCTTGTGTGCTTTCACTTTCATTTCTAGCCAAGATGGCTTCTTTTTGGGGGTTTTTACAAGGAATGACACACCAGCTCAGTGCACTCCTATATCAGCATCCATCCCTAACCACAGAGTTGCATTTTTCCTGTTGCTCAAGACAACAACCCACAAGCAATTCTGTAACTCCTGTAAGAGCCCCAGCAGACACCCAGGCCACGTGCTGCTCCCACACTCACGTTCTTGCGGTGATTCTTCACGGCACAAAGCTCCTGCACCAGCTCCTTCAGCCTCTCACTGTCCCTGCCACACAGCACCAGCCTGGAGCCAGCTGCATGGAAAGCTTTGGCACATTCTGTGGGGAAGCAAGGAAGAGAGAAAGGAGGGAATTGAATACCAGCCAAAGGACAGCTCCACATCAGTGATAGCTCCACGTGCTGTTGGCTGGCTGTGGCTTCACTGCTGCTGTGTGTGGCCAGGCTGATTGACAGAGAGGTCACAGCCACGTCCCACTCTCCTGGGACTGTGACACACACACCAGCAGCTGCTGTGCTCTCAGACACTGTGCTGGTTGGACACTTACTGTGCTGTTCACACATCCTCCCCCTCAGCTGGTCACATTTAACTCTTCATTTTTGACTTTATGTCCTTCTTAACCACAGTTACCTGGTGTGTGTCATCTAACACAGGTCTTAGGAGTGTCAATTTTAATGAACCCCTCCAGAGGTTCTGGGAGCCTCGGGTTTAATGCCTTCATCAAGGTGATTTTCCTCACTGGGAAAAGCCTGGAGAAGGGATGCCAGGCTATTGTCCTCCTAACTGCATGTTTCTGTCCCCTCTGGGAGCCAGAGGGACAAACTGCTTGTTTGAACAAGGGATGACAGTGGATGGCAATGAACACACAGTAATTAGAGGTGGTCTGGTGTATTAATAATAGGAGTAAGGGGAGTTGTAAAAGATCTTGCAAATGAGTCAAAAAGGGAGGAAACTTTACAGCACAGTGGTGGAAGTCTCTACACCCCACAGCACAGACAGAGCTCCAGCTGGAATGTCTCTCCTGGAATACTAATTTCCTCTCTTGATGAGAAGTACAAGATCCTTTACCACTCCCACTCTTTGGTTGAGGCAGGCAGAGAGAACCAGTTCATCTCCTTTGGCCAGTTCCTGAACACCCCTGTCCTTAGGGACAAACTCACAGGCAAAGGCAGCATCAATTAAAGCTCTATTTGTTCTATAAATGTACTCATCCTAATGAAAGGCCTTGATAGCAGAGAGCACCTTGTTTTCTCTTCAAGCAGCTTTTAAAGCAATTATAGAAAGCAGAATTAGAGAATGTAGCCACTGAAGCAAAACTGAACGTAAGTTTCAGCTGGAAAAAAATACTCCCTGGTGTTAACAATGCCAAGAGCTTGACTTAAGAGTGGATGGATTTGTACCATGAAAGGTACCTTAAGTTGAGGGTGAGGGACAAGGAGAAGGAGTGGAAAGTTTGGTAGAGCAGGTGGAAGTACCTGAAGGCACAACACCACTTCTGGGAGGTTTTAAAGAAACAATTTGGCTTCCTGGCTTTTTCAGGGTTTAGGGAAAAGACCCCTGACAGCACAAGAACAGCATCTAATTCCTTGCTTTCATGAGCTCCAGTTTATACAAGGTGATTTAAATTTTTTGTACCAAATGCTGAGACTTCCTTGCACCCAAATCTACACTGGCTGTGGTTACAATTCAGGTGGGAGCCGCGTCTCTCAAAACTCAATCAACAGGAACTTTCAGCTCGTTCCTGCTTTATTCCACGAGCTGCTCCTGCCACAGCCCCCTGCCTGTGCTGCCCCTGGTGCCCTGTTGGGTCCATACCTTTGCCCAGGCCAGAGGTGGCCCCTGTGATCACCACCACAGCTTCCTGCAGGTAGGCTCGCATCCGCATCCACTGCAGCAGCCGGAACAGCGCGAAGATGCCCAGGCTGCCGAAGAGCAGCGGCACGATGACAGTGCTGGTGAAATCCATCAGCTTTCCTTTCTGAACTGCCTTCCTACAGCCACAGGATGACAGCAAAGAGATCATTTCACCATGAGGAAAATGAGCAAAGGCCTGAAAACTACTTTGAAATTATTTTTCTTAACCCTGTCTTAGACCACCAGTAAACCACCAAGGTAACCTCTGTAGCTTCAGCAGATTTTCTCATCCCTTCATTTAGGTTTTGGAAAGTTCACATCAGTACCCAATTTTAAGCACTGAAATAGTAATGTGAACATCCCAGCAGGACACTTGGCATTGCATCCTGTCAGCTGTCACGTCACAAACTTGGGTTCAGGGATGATGTTCCCATGTTTTGCCCTAAGTTTACCCTCTTGTGATGAAGTTCCCCAGGGCTGAGATATTTCTCCACATTTTTCTGATTGTATAAAACTGTTCAGATTTCTCTAGAACAGCCAGTACTGGAGTATCTACAAGCCAGAGATCAGGTACTCTGTGTTATCCCAGATGGATATAAGCCAGTCTGTCTTTTGGAGGCTCCAGGTTTTTTCTCTGAGCCAGTAATTTGCTTAACACACTGAAATCTCATCCTGGAATTGGATTCTGATACCAAGGCATAGCCCTAATCTCCTTGCTAAGCCATTCCTTCAAGGGAGTAGTTTATGTGACAGCTTACTAAGGGCCACAGAGCAAGTGAGACTCCTGTGACAAGGCCACTGATTTTCCCTCTGCATATCCCTGAGCTTTTATCTAAGCTTGGTCTAAGAGTAAAGTTAATTACAACCCATTCCTGAAATCTTCTGGGTCACACATGAAGTCAGAACCAAACATCAGGGAATTTTCCCTTCCCTTCTCCTTTCTCATGCAGGCAGAGTCTGAATTCTTGCAGTCTGAACTGCAAGACAGGCCTTTCCTGGGAAGATACTGGCAAATTCTGGGCACACAGCTTGTGCTCCTTCAACAGGAGAGCATGAGAAGCAGACAACAAGAGGTAACTACAATGCTGAGGCAGAACTCAGTGTCACTGAGGGGATGGCAGAGGCTCTGCATGCCAGGGAACAGAGCTAATGTGGAAAATGTCAGGCTCTTCCAGATATCCATCAGGAGCCTGGAGAGAATTCCTCAAATAGCTGCACAGTGAACAGCTTGCTGAAATAGCAGTGAACTGAACAAAATAACTATTTCTGGGGGTACAGCTGGAACACAATAAAATAACAGATGAAGACAGCTCTACATAAACCTGGCAAGGTGTAAAAACAAAGCCACCAAGTTAGAACACAACTCCTCTTGGGCTCTTTTGGAGCTTCCCATTCCCAAAGTGACTCGTGTGGGTCTCAAGTCCTTCCTGGTGGGATCCAGTGTGGATAATGCAGGGAGACATCAGAGCAGCAGCTCCCCAGGGCACAGGGAGTGTGCCCAGAGTGGGAGAGCAGAAACCCAAAAGGAGGATTCAGCTCAGGCACTGCAGAGCATCCTCTGTGCTGAGGGAGAGCACACAGGGTGTGTTTGGCACTGGTTGCAGCCAGGGACAGCTCATTTGACATAAGAGAATGGATCTTCCCTAAAACAGTTCCTGGGAAAGAGATGTTTTGACATGAGGCCACTGGATTTTCAGGCTGGATGAGAAGCTTCTCTCAGACTTCTCCAGTTCATGCTCAGCAGCTGCCTTTTTTATGACTCCCCTTTTTTTGCTCTCTCAAAGGTCTCTTGAGATTCACAGCACAAAGTGTGGGCAGGGACAACAGGTGCTGTGCTGACACTGGCCTTACAGGACATTCTGGAATCAAAAAACCCTCAGGCCATGTTCAGGCCCTTTCATTATTTCCCAAGTGGGAGCTGACAGGTGCACTGGCACTTCCTTCATGGGGCACTGGAAAAATCTGGCCCTGCTGTGGATCCAGTGGAATGCAGGTGAAAAGGTAACTGAGAACAGGGGCCTTTCCTGACACCTCTCCTAAAAAATATTTCTAATCTTTTGTTGTATTTCCTTTTTCTCATGTCATACACAGGAACTGGGCAGATTGTCCATCTCTGCCTGAGGGCTGCAGCAAACCAAGAACAACAACCTGCTGTGGCAGCTTCCAGGCTGGAGCCTGAGCCACCAGGTAACAGCTCTGGGGAGGGGAAATATGGGATGGGGAAGAGAAAGGAGAGGAGCCAGGGAGAGAAGGAGTTGCCAATCAGAGATGGAAATCCCTATATATATTATAATAATTATTAATAATACATTTATTTTATATTATAATAATATATATTATATATAATATATAATATATAATATATTAAGATTATATTATATTATATTATATTATTTTTTGGGGCATGCAGATGCAGTGCCTTCTTCCAAGGTGCTCAAATGGCCTCTTAAAAAAAACCCCCCCAAAACAAAGAAAATCTCAGCTCAGTCAGACTTGAGAGAGAGGACAACCCAGCTGAACAAATCATTTGGGACTGAAGAACTTCTGCAGCACTTCAGACCTACAGAAAAGTTTTGCTTTGATTTTGTGACCTGCTTCTCTCACAGCCCAAACTCCAGGTAACCCTGAAGGGACCCCAGAGCAGAAAGTGCTGTGTCACACTGAAATGGGGGTGAGGGTGGGGTGCACAGCTCAGCTGAGCTGCACTCACCAGCTCAGGCCTCCTGCTCTGAGCTCTGACACCCCACTGTCACCTGTGCTCAATAATTTGGGTATTCACACTGAAAAACCCCCTCTGTTTTTAACAGTGATGTTTATTACAGCAGGATTTCAGCCTCTGCTCATTAACTGCAAACCAAACCCTGCAATTCCCAGTTCTCCATCCCAAAGGGCAGGATTGGAACATGCAGGTTATCAGAGAGCAGAAATAAAGACAATGATAATGCCAGCAAATACAGGGGGTAGGAAACTTTCTGAAGGCTTCCCACAGAATCAATCACATTTATCCAATTAAAAATAAACCCAGAACTCTCCCTTTAAAACAAAAGTGGGTGTTCTCCCATACAAGCCAGCACAATGGTTTCTGAAGGAACAGGGATATTTATGAATAAGCTCAGGGGTGCAAAGATGAGACCAGATCCTAAAGAACCAAACCCCTGGAAGCTTGCCCAAACAAGGGGGGAATGAAACTGAAAATAATAAATAAATAATAAATAAAATTGTGCAGCTCCAGGCTCCCAGAACCACACTGTCCTTTAGTGGCACCAGCTGGGAGGCTGCAACCCCAAATCCAACGGCTGGGGGGATAAAAGGAGGGGGAAAAAACCCTGGATTTCCTAAGGAAAAAAGCACAGCTCCTCGAGGGAGAGCTTCAGTGTGAAGAAAGCACAAGGTCCTACCTGAGAAAGGGCTCACTTGCAGTGACTCTGAGCTGGAGCTGCTGCAGCAGGAGAGCCCCGAGCTAAATGTGGAACTGGCAGCAGCCCAAGCAAGCGTCCAATGCCAGCCCAGCCCTGGGCTGCTCTAAAAACAAACCCTGGGAGCACAGGCTCTGACCTTTCCAGGGCAGGGGAACCTCAGTTTAACCCCCAGACTGAGAAAACAGACGTGAACTCAGACCTCTGAGAGCAGTAAAAACTCCTCAGGGGGAACGCAGCAACTGGGCAGAGCTGCTCATCCAAACAGGAAAAAATCAGGAGAACACAGCTGGAACAGCTGGAATTCCCAAAGGAAGCTGCCAGCCAGGCATTACCTGCAGCATCAGCCTCTGCTGGATCTCAGCATCGTTCAGTGCATCCCGCCTGAGTTCTTCAACCCACGGTGCAGCAAGAGGGGAGAAAAATCTGTGTTCAGCACCCAAGCCCAGCCTGGGCTGGAGACAGCGCCTGGAATTCCACCTGCGCCACTGGAAGGTGTTGGCAGGGCTGGGATGAGGTGGGATTTAAGGTCCTTTCACCCCGAGCCGGCCTGGGATTCTGTGAATCGCTTTCTCGTTATCTCCCTGTCCCTGTGCTCGGGTGCAGAGTGGGATTCCACCCTCCCTCCCACTGGGAATTCCTCTGCTGGTGTCCGCGACAGAAACAAAGGCGGCCTGCTCACAACACTCAAACATTTGTTGCTCCAAAGAAAGCGTTGTGCAGACATTTACCAAACCAGGAGCTCCGTGAGGCCATGACGGCGGGCTGTGTCCCTGATTTATCTATAATTAGATTTTTAATGGCGGTACCGGCGGTGGACTCTGTCCCGGAGAGCGCTCGGTGTCCCTGCGCGCCCCAGCGCCGCCTTGCCCCAAGCTCTCCCGCATTTCCCAGAGCCCCGCAGCCCCCCGGCCCCTCCCGGGTGTCCCGGGTGTCCCTCCCTGTCCCCTCTGTCCCCACCTGGCCGCCGCCGTCACCATGGCCACCGCCGGAAGTGGGCCCGGGCCGCTTCCGCCCGGACTCCGCTCCCCGTGACGCCAACCGGAAGTGGCTATCGGAGAACATCTGCCCTCACCTGTCCTCCCGCCTGTGCCGCCCGGCTGGGGAGCAGCGATGCCAACCAGGGGTTCCGCCCTCCCTGGGTTCCCCCCGGGTGGGCATGCCCTCAGGCCCGGAATCACAAAATCCCGGAGGGGTCAGGCTGGAGGGGACTGTGGGGCGTGTTCAGCCTCCCTGCTCAGCACGGCACAGAGCTGCTCTGGAATATGGCCAGCGAGGGAGGGCCTGTGCCACTGCTGGGCCTCACCGAGCCGACCCTGCACACCCTGCGAGCCCAGCGCCCATTGCAGCCACAGAAACTCGGAACTCCGGCATCGCCACAGGAAAACATCGGACGCAGCCACAGAAAAAGCTCGACTGGAAGGGACCCACAGGGGCCACCGGCACCTGGCCCCGCACAGGACACCCCAAAATCCCCCTGAGGGTGACACTGGCACAGGACACCCCAAAACCCCATTGTGAGGGTGACACTGGCACAGGACACCCCAAAACCCCATTGTGAGGGTGACACTGGCACAGGACACCCCAAAATCCCCCCCTGAGGGTGACACTGGCACAGGACACCCCAAAATCCCATTGTGAGGGTGACACTGGCACAGGACACCCCAAAAC